TCCTGCTGCCCGATGAGCCTGGCAACCAGGGGAGGAGGAGGGTGAGAACAGGGATCCAGGCACATGGACTCCCTCTTTCTGCTTCTCCCAGGCCTGAGGCACAGCTGGTTTGAAGTTTGGACTTTGGGTCTTGCCTGGAAGTTGGCAAGACTCACGGGGAGGGGCCATCCTTGCTGTTGCCCTTGGCTTGTCTTCAGCTGGGAGGTCATGGACTCAGGTGACCTGTCGGTGACCCACTGTGAGCTGTCCGTGTTCCCTGAGCCCTCAGCCAAATGTAGTCAGTGTGGTGTCCGCAATATCAGCACTGGGAGAAAGAGGCAGGAGGACGGGCAGCTTGAGAACAACTGGCTTATTTGCTTGAATATGGAACAAAAGGGGTCTCAAGCTGGCTCAGCAGGGATAGGGGCTTGGCCAAGCCCAAGAACTTGAGTTCAATTCCTGGAGCCTTGTTGTGGAAGGAGAGAAGTGCCACCCCTCCCCCAAGCTGTCACCCTTCACACATGGGACATGCATTTACCCCCTACCCCCAATGTTTTTAAAATGAAAGAGAAGAGGCCGGACACGGCTGGCCTTAGTAGTAGTTAGTACCCTTATTGAGGGACTATCTCCTGCCATGCAGCGAATGAGCCAGGGCCAGGGGCATGGCTGGAATTCCGGACCAGGGTGCCCACATCCTGGTGGCCTACTCCCTGCCCCGGGACTGTACTACCTCGTATGAGTTGGGCTTTTCATTGCTCCACTTGGCACTGGTTCCCTCTCTAGGGCACCACCATTCACTGGGTCAGCATCCTGCGCCCTGCCCCCCCCCCCCCCCCCCCCCCCCCCCTAGGCCGGGGCCCCCCCCGGGCGGCTGAAATGGAAACCCCGTACCAAGAGCTCCGGTTTCTTTCCAGTAAATGGCAATGGCAGTTGAGGGCAGCACACAGGGGCCTGCTAAGCTCTGCCGAGTTCCGAGACAATGCTTGTGGGCACAGAGCCACTGGGGAGTTGTGACACAGGCCTTCTGAGCTCTGCCAAGTGTCTGGGATAGTCCTGGTGTGACACCTTGATGACTCAGGCACATGTACTCCCCACCGCCCCCAAGGCAGCCATTCGTAGACCCCAGTTCTCCTTTCTCTTCACCTTCCTTCCTTTCTTTTCCCTAGACAGGGTTTCTCTGTATATTAAGCCCTGACTGTCCGGGTACTTGCTTTGTAGAATAGGCTGGCCTTGAACTTACAGCCATCAGCCTACCTCTGCCTTCCCAAGTGCAGGATTATGGGCATGGGCCACCGTGCCTGGCTGGTTTATTTTTTCTTTTCTTTTAATTTCATTACATCTTAGTGCATGTATGTGTCAGTTCTGCCCTTCTACCCTCTGGACCCCTGGGGTGCCACTGTGTGTACCAGCAGGCCGCCTGGCCCCCCTGAACTCAAGTGCTTTCCTCCGCTGCCTCTTTGGTGCTGGAGCCTGTGTGTGTTGAGCACGCCTGCTACCTGTGTCCCACGGGTGGTAACTCAGGACTCTCAGCTGGCTTCATGTTCTGAGGCCTTTTGGACTGAGACAGTGTTTGGGCCTCAGGCTGCACAGGGTCTCACTTCATGGCCTCCACTGTCAGCTGCACTGTGCCCAGAGGCCAGTGTATCACCCTGTCACAGCTTTCCAAGATCTCCCCCCTCTCCCAACCAGTTCTCTGTCCCAGAGCCCAGCTGAGTCACTGAGGGCCAGCTCAGCCCTTCGCCTCCTCCCGTCTTCCTGCTACCGGTCTCCCCTCCCCCTCCCCTTCCGGCTCCCTCCAGTCCCCTGGCTGGGGTAGCTGGGACTGGCTGAATTCCTGGCTTGATTCCTTTATGCCTGGTCCATGCTTTCCTTTGTTAGCTGAAGTAAGCAGGCTCTGTCCTCCCCGAGGTCAGGGTCCTGGAAATGTTGTTTTAGGGCGGGACCACTGGACTGGGGGGTAGGGAAAGGCTTAGAGCCTTAGGGCCTTAAGGCCGCTTCAAGCATGGTCGCTTTACTGCGACCTTGATGGGATCTATGAAATTTATTTTATTTTTCTGCTTCCTGGCTATAAATATGTATTCTTTCTTTAAGAGTGCATTACAGTTTATTTGTGTGTGGGGGCGTGTGTGTGCTGCATGCCTGTATGGAGGACTGTTTGCAGGGGTTGCTCCATGTGGAGCCTGGGGATTGAACTCTTGTCCTCAGGCTTGGCAGCAAGCAGCTTTACCCTTCGAACCATCTCACCAGCCTTCTGTCCTTAACTTTTCTTCTCTCTCTTCCCTCCCTCTCTTCTCTCTACTTCCTTCCTTCTCCATCCCTCGTGGGTGGGTGTGTTCATGTGTATGTGTGTAGTTCCCCAATGCCCAAGTATGCACCTGTGTGTGGAGGTCAGGGGTCAACTCTGGATGTTGTTCCTCTGATGCTGTCCGTCTGTCTTGTTTCCTTTTTGAGACAGGGTTTTTCACTGCCCTGAGAGTCACCAAGTAGGCTAAGGTGGCAGGCCAGGGAACTGCAGGGAATCCGCCTGTCTCTGCCTTCCTAACAGTGTATTAAATCCATGTGTCACTGTTTTAGTCACTGTTTTATTGCTGTGAAGAGACACCGTGACCAGGACAATGCTTATAAAAGAAAACATTTGACTGGGGCCCTGGCTTACACGTTCAGAGGTTTGGTCCATCATCATCGTGGCTGCAGGCAGGCAAGGTGCTGGCCAAGTAGCTGGGAGTTCTACACCCTGATCCACAAACGGAGAGAGACAGGGCCTGGTATTGGCTTTTGAAACCTCAAAGCCTACCCACCACCACCAGTCCCCACTTCCACTATGACACACTTTCTCTAACAAGGCCACACCCCTAATCCTTCTAATCCTTCTCAAATAGTGCCGCTTCTGTGACTAAGCATTTAAATATAGGAGCCTATGGGGGCATCCTTACTCAAATACCCACGAACACCGTGCCTGACTTTTTACCACAAGTTCCGAGGTTTGACCTCATGCTTGTATGGCAAACACTGTCCCAACTGAGCCATGTCTCCAGCCCTCTTTTCTTTTGCTAAGACAGGCTATCATCGTGTAAGCGAGGCTGGCCTAAAGCCCCATCTCCGTGCCTCAGACGCCTTAGTGCTGTGATGACAGGTGTGGCCCGTCACGCTCAGCTGTTGGTGAACTTTTCTCAGCTGCAGCTGTTGCACTTTTAAGATGCCTGCTGCTTCTGTAGTGGCCTTGAGAATCTCCAGGCCGCATCTGTGCAAGGTGGGGCTGGCACACGGCAGGCTCCGTGCTATGCACCATAGGTACAGCCTGGTGCACAGATTCCTCACAGCACACAGTAGGTTTCTTGGGATCTTTAAGAATGGTAGGTGAGCTGGGCAGCGCTCAAGGGAGGGAGAGGCAGGTGGATCTCTGTGAGTTTGAGGCCAGCCTGGTCCACAATTCAAGTCCAGGACACTCAAGACTACACAGAGAAAACCCCCCTGTCTAGCAAAACCAAAACTAGAACCACAACAAACCCAAACACACACACACAAAAAGAAAACAATGGTAAGTGTTAGGGTGTTTGCGGTGATTGGAGGACCGAGGAATGCCACAGAGCCACACCATGCAACAGACCCCACCTGATAGGTGTATTTGGTGGGGTACACTGACGCTGCCTCTCTCTGAACAAGGACGGAGGAGGAAGAAAGGGGCCGTGGAGGCACATGGCTTTATGTGGCACAGGGGCCACCTTTGGGGGCTGGTGATGACCTGGCTGCTGGCACTGAGTTACAGAAGGGGGTCTGGGGGATTCACCTGGTTCTAGAATGTGTGTGGTCCTTGGTTGCCTAACATGGAAACTGAGGCAGCCTTCTCCTCTCTGCATGGCTGTGTCCTCACATGGGGTTTCCAGTCATGGGAGCTGATTCAAACACTCTTGAAAGGTGGGTTCTCAGGCAGGAGAGACTGAGGCCTGATTTGAAGCTTGCCCAAGGCTCTCAGGAGGCGGAGTGCAGACTGAGAAGCACAGCAGACTCTCCTAGGTTCACCATAGATTTCCAGGGCCAGTGGTCCCAAAAGGTTACCTGGGAAAATGGTGCTTGCTAGGCCAAGCGTTCTCTGGCAAAATTTCAAGTAGCTCATTCTGATGATGTAGGCCAATGATCTTAGGGTTTGAGGCAGGAGGATGATAAGCTCAAGGACAACCTGAGCAACTCAGACTCTAACTCAAATAAAAAGTGAAAAGAGGATGGGGAGGGGTTGTGGTGTAGCTCAGCAGTGAAACCAAAGAACCAAACCAGTGGGCTGAAGAAGCAAGTGGGAGTAATGGCTGGAAGAGCTCTGCTGTTCTGTGGCCTGGTTTACCAGCAGGTTGTCCCCTGTGTCCATGGGATGGCTCCTGCAGCTTTTAGCAGCCACGCCCATCACCTCCAAAGCGAAGATCAGATCTCTGTCTGTAAATGGCCAAGTGTACTGCAGCTTGGTGAGCACAACACTCAGGAGGCTGGGGTAGGACTAGGAGAGCCAGCCTAGGATATCCAAGGAGACTGTGTGTCAGAAAAACCACATCAAGCCAGGCAGTGGTAGCGCACCCCTGTAATCCCAGCACTCGGGAGGCAGACGCAGGTGAATCTCTGAGTTCAAGTCCAGCCTAGTCTACTGAGTGAGTTCCAGGACAGCCAGGGCTACACAGAGAAACCCTGTCTTGAAAAACCAAAAACTAAAACAACCCCCCCCCAAAAAAAAAAAAAACAAACAGACTTACCCATACAAGAACAGACAGCCCTGAGTTCCATCCCTAGTAAATCAGGTGTGGCTTACATCTGTCACCCTCCCAGGATATGGAGGCAGAAGTCCAGTATCCTTCTCTGCTGTGTACTGAGTTTGAGGCCAGCCTGAGCTACGTGATAGCCTACCTTAGACAACACAGAAAAGAAATACCAATGTCCTCTGCTGGGCCTCTATCGGTTTCAGGACCACTGGGACCAGCCAAGGTCCCACATCCCAACAAGAACATGATGACACCATTTCTCTTGTGTTCTGTCCTCAGGTGACCAAGGATGGCAGAGAGGATGTGACTGTCACCCACCTTTGTCCGCCCTCCTCGTGGCACCACCATGCAAAAGCCCAGTGGTCTGAAGCCCCCTGGCCGAGGGGGGAAGCACTCCAGTCCGGTCGGCAGGCCGTCCATCGGGTCCGCCTCATCCTCTGTGGTAGCATCAGCCAGTGGCTCCAAGGAAGGTATGTGAGGCCGAGTGTGGGAAGGCTTCTGCAGCATGGGGCCTTTGGGGAGATGGGAGCAAACGCACCCCACTCAAATAGAATACCAGCAACAGACCAAAATAAGGATTCCTGAGTCTAGCATGATGAGCCAGTGACTTTATTGGGGTTACTTACAGGAGGGTGGATAACCCAGAGGTAGGCGTATCACTTACAGGGCTCAGAAACTCGCTGTGCAGCCCAGGCTGGCCTCAGACATTCCAGGATTCTGAATTGCCTCTTGGGTGCTAAGGGCACCCATGTGCACCATCAGTTAACAGAATCACAGTAATGCCCACAGGCGTGCCCAGAGGCTCGTCTCCCAGAAGATTCTAGAATCTGTCAAATTGCAACACTGACCAGCATAGAGAGTACACGAGAATTAGGAATAGTTTGGTTAGTTTTTGAGACTAGGTCTCAGTCTTATAGCTCAGGCTGGCCTCGAACTCATGTTCTTCAGGCTTCACCCTTCAGTGCTGGGATTATAGGCGAGCGCCACCCCCAGCTGGAGATTCACCTTTCTGTAGTCTTTGCTGTGGAAATCTTGTTTCTTCCATTTGCTCTGCTGGTGACCCAGTGAGGATGTCTCCACACAGCCCCTGCTTAGGTTAAACTCCACCAAGCATGTAGGACTCCGCTCATCTCATTGGTGTTTTGGAAATACCAGCTAGAAATTAGCTTGCGGAAGCTGGGTTGGGGTCAGGGGATAGGAGTCGCATAAAGTGTGAGCCAGCGGAGGTAAAAGGCTGAGGAGGCTGCAGTGTGAGGGAACTGAAAGGTGGAGCCAGCAGCTATTCCCAGCAGGCTTTGCGGGTCCAGTTTCCTCTCTGAGAAGGCAGATCCCTTCACACTCACAGGAGTCATTCCAGAGGAAGCCAGAGCGAGGTGGGGAGGGGGAAAGGGAGAGGGAGAGGGAAACTAATGGAAGTGATCTTAGGGGCAGGACTTTATTTGGTTTGTGCAGAAACACATCTGCCTCACAGCTAGGGAGATGGCTTGGTTGGTAAAGTGATTTACCATGCGAGCTTGAGGGCATGAGTTTGGGACCCCAGAACCTAGGCAAAACCCAGGGTGCGGCAGAGTAACAATTGGAGGCCTGGTGCTTGCAGGCCGGCCAGCCCAGCTGAACTGGCCAGTTCCAGGTCCAGACACACAGAGACCCTGTCTCACAGAGCGAGGTGGAAAGTAGGAAGACAGCCGATGTGGTGGTTAGTTGTAATTATCACCTTGATACGGACTAGAACTACCCGGTAAGAGTCTCATGGGGGATTGTCTGTGCTGGGGAAGTCTGTGAACTTGTCTGTTTGGAGTATCTTGGTTATTGATGACCTGGGAAGACCCAGTCGGAAGTGGGCAGCACTTGTCTCTGGTCTGGGATCTGAACTGTTGAGGAAGGAAAGGCAGCTGACCACTGAGCATGTGCGCAGTCATGCATTCGTTTCTTTCCACTCTTGCCTGTGCATGTCAGGTGACCAGCTGTTTCAGCTCCTGCTTTATGGACTGTGACCTGGAGCTGTGAGCTAAAATAAGCACTTCCTCCCTTAGCTGCTATTTGTCAGGGTGTTTTATCGCAGAAATAGACGACCTCTGGCCTCCTCCGCATGCATGCACATATGTACATGCGCATGCAGCATGAGTATGTACACACAGAGACACATCTGTGTAGAAAGGAATGGGAGCTGACACTGGGGAGGTATCAGAGGTAGGGGGCAAAGGGCAGGAATTCAAGTGTCTTTCCAACAGAGGTATGGGCTGTGGCCTAGGGACCCCACATATAAAGCCTCCACCGTGAGCATGGACTGTGGGGCTGAGGGAAGGGCCAGGCCAGAGAGGAAATGAGCAATCATCCAGGCGAAGTGTACATGCTCAGCGCCTGTCATGGGGAGGCCACAGGACCGTTGTCCTGAGTCAGTCCTCCAGGGTCATCTCCTGGGAGGAGCTTGAGGGTGCTGAGTAACAGAGGGTTGAAAAACTGCATTGTTAGGCTAGTGAGGTCAGTCCCTGGACCCACATGGTTCAAAGAGAGAAATGACTCCTGCAGGTTGTCTTCCAAGAACTATGGCACATAGCCCGTAGGGGATAGGATAGCCTACCCTAATCCCCTAGGCATGCACACAACCAACATTAAATTCATGTATGCATACACACGCGCACGCATGGGCGCACACAGTGACAGAGATGGAATCTCGGGAGCTGGAGAGACGCTCGGTGGCTAAGAGCACTTCTTGCTGCCCTTGCAGAAGACCCAGGCTCAGCTCCCAGCACTTAGGTGGTGACTCAGAACCACGTGTGACTCCAGTTGCAGAGGATCTGATGCCCTGTTCTGGTCCAATCCTGCACATACATGGTGTACACATACAGCAATGAAACACCCAAACACGTAAGATAAAAATGAATAAATATTTAAAAAGGAATTTTAAGTACACGGCTTGACTGCTGGCTCCTAGTGGGCTGAGCTTACTCCAGCAGGGTGACTCGTGGAACCCGGTGTCTGGGGAAGTGCACCAGCCAGCCTGGCCCTGGGCCAGGATGTGACCTTCAGGGAGAAAGGCCCATTGTCTCTTCTGGGTTCTTTCTTCATTGGACCTCCTTGTCAAGTGAGGCCCCAATTTCTTTTTTTCCAAGTCTCTGGGATTTAATCCAGGACTTTACACATGCTGGGCTGGTGCTCTACCACTGAGCCACACCGCAGCCCCTCACAGGGTGGAGGGATCCTAGACAGGTGCTCTACCACTGAGCCACACTCCCAGCCCCTCACTGGGGGATTCTAGGCAGGGGCTCTACCACTGAGCCACACCCTGAATCTCTCGCTGGGGGACTCCAGGCAGAGGCTCTACCCTGCTCTGGGTGCCAATGTCAAGAGCCTTCGGAATAAGGTTGGGTAGATGTCCTAGGGAAAACAGGCACCATTCCTGCTGGCCCTTCAGGTTCCCACCCCCCTTTGGGATTGACCACCTCCTCTCTAAAGTGATGGAAGTGCCAGGCATTGCGGTACATATCTGTAATCCCAGCACTCAGGCTGAAGCAGGAGGATTGTGAGATCAGGGCTAGCCTGGGCTAAATATGGGAGAGTCTGACCCCAAAATAGACAAACACTGTGTGGGACAGTAGCAGCACAAGGCTTCTGGCTCCATCCCCAACACTACAGAAACCAGGTGTGATGAATGGGCATCTGTTAGCCTTTGGGAAACAGGGGAAGGGTTAACGGTTATCCTTGAGGCTGGTGCTTGGGACATATGAGACCCTGGCTCAAAACTAATATGTCAATCAGCCAATAAAACAAAGCATTGAGGAGACTGGGACTCAGTGGGAGACACCCAGGACAATTTGAGAGATCCATGTGCGAATTGGCGCCTGCCTTGGGAAGCTGAGCTGTGGCTCCCTCCCAAGGCATGATGTCAGCTTTGGGCAGAGAGGGTCTGGCACGGCAAACAGCCTGGATGGATGCCATGTGTAGCAGGGAAGGCCAGCATTGGTACCCAGGAGCATGATACAGGATGCAGCAAGGGTCCCAGGGGAGACTTCAGAGGTTTCTCCCTAGAGTGCAGGTTTGAAAGGTGGGCAGGTGTGGAGCTAAGAGGAGGAGAATGAGTAGGACGGAGCACTCCTGGAGAATGCTCTGGATGACTTGTCAGTGGACCCAGGGCAGTGTTAGCTGTGAACGGGAGAAAAGGGTTCCTAACTCCAGGCTCTTGCCAGGTTGGCCTCCATACTGTTCGGCACTGGGAAAAAAGGTTATATACAGCAGCCTTTCTCTGGAGTCTCCTTAGTCCTGTGTGTGTGTGTGTGTGTGTGTGTGTGTGTGTGTGTGTGTGTGTTTACCTATCTGTGTGGGAATTCAGGTCTGCACACACATGGGGCAGTGCAGAGGTCAGAGGACTGTGTGTATGTGAGTTCGTGGACCTGTGTACATGGAAATGCAGGTGTGTACACTGCAATGCAGAGGTCACTGGACTTTGCGTGTCAATGCAGCTTTTGTATTGTTTAGAGTCACTCTCCTTTGGAGACAGGATCTTACCGTGTCGCCCTAGCTTGCCTAGCACTCCCAGGATACAGGTTCTCTTTTCATCTACCTGTTTACCTCAGGTTAGCCGACCCGGGAGCTTCTGGGAGTCTCCTTCTCCACCACCCGGGCTACCGCCCAAACTCTCAGAGTACAGGCTGCGTGAGTGGGCCTAGCTTTATGTGCCTGGGGCCTTAAACTCGGTCCTCCTGCGTGTGCATGGCATATGTGTTGCCACCGAACCGTCTCTCCGGCCTCTGGAGTCTCCTTCTAACGCCATACCTGAGAGTCGCCCTCTCACCCTTGGAAGATGCGCTGGTCAGCTGGGACCTGGGGTTGTCAAGCGGAGTATGAGCTCCCGTCAACCACTTGGCTTCTGTCATTCCTGCAAGCTTTCCCTGTTGCACTTGCTACCCGCCTCATGGCATCTGAATAACCCAGTGAGATAGTTCATTGCACTCCAGCCCCTGGGGGAATTGTAGGCTAGCACTCTACCAGTGAGCTACATCTGAGCCCCTCAGATATGGTTATTCTCGTTAAATATATTTTACGTTATCATGTTTTGTATGAGTACGATGTGTAGCGTGTGTGCAGGCCCACGCGCCACAGCAGGTGCACAGAGGTCAGAGGACAGCGTGTAGGTGTCGTCTCTCTCCTTTCACCATGTGGGTACCAGGGATTGAACTCAGGTTGTCGGGCTTGGTGACAACGCCTCTGAGTAAGCCCTGAGCCATCTCGCTGACTCTCCTCTATTGTTTTTGAGATAGTTTCCCTATGTGATCCAGGCTGGCAGTCTTTGAGCTTCCCTCTCCTGGGGACTGAGGTATAGGCTTGCTCCTCCACCTCCTGCCATCACTTCAGTGCCTAGGCTGAGATGCTGTTTGAATCACTGGAGGACCAGGCCTCTCTGTTTCCCTTCATCCTTTCAGTCAGTCAAGGTCAAGAGCACCCCTTCAAGGCCGGCTCCTCCACTCTCTCCCCTGACCACATCCTAAACTTTTTAATGGCATCAGGATGGGGAAGCCAAGATGAGCTTTTCCAGGGCTGTGTGGCAGGGGGCAGGGCTGCCTTCTAACACCGCTGACGTTCTGTGCGCTATCGATCTGGGAGGCAGGGACCACGGCCAGCGCCTGCCTGCCTGCCTGCCTGCCTGCTGGCCAGGCCCTATGGCCGGTGCCTGAAGCTTGTCGATGGGGAGCTGGCTGTGCTCATTTCAGGGTGAGCATCACACCCGACCCCCACCCAGGTTCCCCAGCTCTCTGCAGGCTCCGAGTAAGGGGGAACAAAGGGGTGCTTATGAATAGCTTTTGACTGAGCCTCCTGATCTGGAGGGAGTGGATGGAGGATTTCTTCAGGGAACAGAGGCAACCTTGCTGGCTAGGTGCCACAGGGTGGAGGTGTTCAAAACGCAGAGGGCTCTTCCTAGGCAGGAGGGACAGACTCAGCCTTCCTTGGCATCATATGGGTGGGAACTGTCTGAAGGCTGATTGAGGGGGATGTTATTTCGGGAAGGTTCTTCACTCCTTTCTTCATGACCTGTGCCTTTGAGAGCCCCTGGTGAGAGGTAAGGACTTGGAACAGAAAACCATTCGGGGCTTCAGAGCGCGGATGTATGTTTCTTGGGACAGGGGAACCCCTAAGGAAGGAAGGTCTGACTGGTTCTGAGTTGCTGGGTCTCCAGTTCCTGGGGCTGAAGTCTGGTAACTAGCAGGTTGACTGTGCAAACGAAGAAACCACAGCACCATAGATTGGAGGAGGGGACGTCACGTGAGGGTTTGCGATGGCTGCCGGTGAGGGGCTGTTGGGGTTGGCACAGGTGGGCATGCAGACTCCTCAGCAGGGCGACCCTCCTCACCTGCACTAGTGTTTCTCACTGGCAGAGGGTGCAGATGCAATAAGGTGTCGTCTACTCGCCTTATCCATGATCCCTGTTGTGTGCTCGTGGTGCTCATTAACATATTTCGGGCTCTGGGAAGGCCTTCAGGGAAAGTACCCTTACCTCTGTGCAAGGAGTTTCTTATTTGAGCTTTGACAGTAATCTCATTGTATCACTTAGCTGCATCCTGTGTTGCTAGAACCATCCCGTGGAGCATTAGGGAGGAGACCGTCTCCTAGAAGGCCCAGGTCCTAGCTAGCATAGGATGTTTTTCTTTCCTCCAAAGCTATCAGGGCAAATTCGAGTTTGTCCCAGAGTTTATAGTGTGTTGTCTCTGCATTTTGGGGTGTGTCTGCATGTTTGGGTGTGCCTGTGTAGGCCTGGGGCTGCTGTGGGATCCTTCTGCACCTCTCTTTCACGTTAGTCTTGGAGGCAGGATCTCTTGATCAGACTCCAAGCTCATCGGTATAGCTACTGTCACACAGGTCCTCGTCCAGGGTTCCTGTTGCCACCTCCGGAGGCTGACATGTGCCCACCTCCCATTTATGCTGGTTCTGGGATCCAGCCTCGGGTCTTTGGGCTTATAGGGCCATCTCCTAAACTCTCTTCCTTTTCTTTTACCTTAAAAAACAAAAACCAGCCAGGCTTGGTGGCACACGCCTTTAATCCCAGCACTCAGGGAGGTAGAGCCAGGCAGATCTCTGTGAGTTCGAGATCAGCCTGATCTACAAAGCAAGTCCAGGACAGCCAGGGCTACACAGAGGAACCCTGTCTCAAAAAAAAAAATCAAGTGATCAGGTGAGGCGATGCCCATACTCTGTAATCCCCGTGCTAGTGAGACAGAGATGCCTGGCAAGCCCAGCAAGTGCTGTGTGAGAACACAAGGGCAGGGGCTAGAGAGGTTGCTCAGTGCTACGAGCACTTGCCGCTTTCCCACAGTTCACTTCCTGGCACCCACAGCTGGCAGCTTACACCCACCTGAGTTCAGCTCCAATCTGGCCTTCGATGGCACCTGTGCGCACATGGCATCGGCTTGTGTGACACACACACACACACACACACACACACACACACACACACACACACGGAAAAGAAACGGCTCATCCCCTGCCAAGACAAGGCAGAAGGCAGGTCTTGAGACGTCTTGAGGTAGAGAACAGTGCTATCTGGGTCCTTACAAGGAGAGAACCAGACTCACAGTTGTCTCAGTCTTTTTTTTTTTTTTTAGACAGGGTCTTACTGTGTGTCATGTGACCCTGCTGGCGGCGGCCGAGATCCACCTGCCTCCTGTGTGCTGGGCTGAAAGCTCAAAGGCCTGCCCTGCCGCACCCCAGTTTACTTTTCCTTGGGACCTGCAATAACAATCAATGAATCGGTCAGTTGAGGCAGATTCTCATGTAGCCCAGGCTGGCTCTAAGACTATGCATAGCTGAGGATGACCCTCAGCTTTTGATCCTTCTTCCTACCCCTCTAAAGTTCCAGGCCACCACACCCAGCCACCGAAAATAAATCCTACTGTGCCTTTCTCATGAAGGGAATCACTGTCCAGGAGAAGGTTATGCTGCCCCAAAGAAGGTTTAGTTTCTGTTACTGAGGCCTGGCTGAAGATCCCAGCACTCACGAGGTGGGGACAGAAGATCAAGACGATCGTGTGCTATACAGGGACTTCCAGGCCAGCCTGGGCTACATGAGACCATCTCAAAATTAAAATAAGACAGGTGTAGTGGCACACACCTTAATCCCGGCATTCAGGAGGCAGAGACAGGTGGATCTCTGAGTTGACGCCCAGCCCAGTCAACAAAAGGAGTTCCAGGAGAGCCAGGGCTAGATGGAGAAACCCTGTTTAAAAAAAAAAAAAAAAAAGTTAAAATAAAAACCAAAGCCTAGCATACCTAGCATCTTACCTTGTTGTCTCATGGGAAACTGAGGCACTGGTTTAGAGAGGGGGCTCAGCCAAGCCTGGCCAGTGTGTTACAGATGACTGTGATTGGGGGGTAGGGTGCTGTATTGGGGGTATCCTGAGCTCTCCCATCCCCGGCAGCCAAGATCTTGCTGCCTGTCTCTGTGGGGGTATTTGAAAGGGTTTGGTCCCTGTGAGGCAGGGCCAGGTGGGAGGACCCGGTGGGGGGACGGCTAAAAGAGGAAAAGCAAATCAAAGCCAGAGCTGTTGACATCACAGACTTGAGACTGAGTGGTGGCAGCTGTCGAAACAATTGGTTGGAGGACCTGTGACCTCTGAGAGAGGCAGGGGTCGGGAGAGATTATCTGGGGGTCCTGTGGGCTGGGACAGCTGAGGGTGGGCACAGCTGAGCTGTGCCTATCTTTCTAAAAATAGGCACGGGGTCAGGGCCCCAGAACCCCTTCTTGTGTTTTGAGTAAAGAGGACAGGTAAAGCCCCTCGAGGGGGCTGAAGTGGGCCGCTTACCGGAAAGGGCCTAACTGAGTCCCAGGCCGGAGCTCTTAGGCACAGGAACACACCCTATACAGAGTCGCTTTGCATTTGTTTGTCTATTCTGGGAGGGAGGGGTGGCTTTCGCCCGTGGCACGTGTGTAGCCGCACTGGAAGTCAGGACAACCTGTGGAAGTTGGTTCTTTGCGACATGCGGGCCCCAGGGATTGCATTCAAGTCACCAGGCTTGGTGGTAAACCCTTTTACTGAGCATCTCATCAGTTCAGTGCTTGTTTTAAGCCCTGAGGATGGAACCCAGGCCTCCTCATGCAAATGCTCCGCCCTGCCAGCCACACTCTAACCCCTCCAGCATGGACTTTGTACGTGGCCTGCGTGGTATCCTGGAGAAACAAGTATTGGACATGCCTGGGTCAGAGCCAGAGGGAATAAGCCATACACAGATCATATTGCTGACCATGCGTGCCTCAGTTTCCCCATAAGATAACTACCACGGACACCCTCCAGCCCTGCAGTCTGTCCTCCAGTTCCCAGGCTAGCCCTAACTACTCCTCTTAACTTCTCCACAGGGTCTCCCCTGCACAAGCAGGCATCCGGCCCCTCCTCGGCTGGAGCCACCACCTTGGTCTCTGAGAAGCCAGGTCCAAAGGCAGCTGAAGTGGGTGATGACTTCCTGGGAGACTTCGTGGTGGGCGAGAGGGTGTGGGTGAATGGCGTGAAGCCAGGCGTGGTACAGTACCTGGGAGAGACACAGTTTGCGCCAGGCCAGTGGGCCGGCGTGGTCTTGGATGACCCGGTGGGCAAGAATGATGGAGCTGTGGGTGGCGTGCGCTACTTCGAGTGCCCGGCTCTGCAGGGCATCTTCACACGGCCCTCCAAGCTGACTCGCCAGCCCACGGCCGAGGGCTCGGGCAGTGACGCCCACTCAGTGGAATCCCTCACCGCCCAGAACCTGTCCCTGCATTCCGGCACGGCCACGCCCCCACTCACCAGCCGAGCCGTCCCTCTGCGGGAGAGCGTGCTTAACAGCTCCATGAAGACGGGCAATGAGTCCGGTTCAAACCTCTCCGACAGTGGTTCTGTGAAACGCGGTGACAAGGACCTTCACCTGGGAGACCGTGTGCTGGTAAGTCTGAGTGGCCCCGGCTGGGTCCCCCGCCTTTCTTTACCACTCATCCCTTCGTGGGTAAGCTAGATCCCAGGGCAGAGAAGGGACGCAAAGGGAACTTGAACAGGGGCCGTGCTAGAGACAACATTCCACCTTGGTACCACAGAGAATAAAAGGGGAGAAGCTGCAGGCTCTGACGCCCGTCGCTGTGTGCCCCTGGGCGTGTGTATTAACCTTTCTGGGTCTCAGTTCCCATCTGTGTCTGTCAGCTCTTTTGTGGCTGTGAAGAAATGCCTGAGAGGGAGGAAAAATGGGTTGAAGCGCAACGTAAGGGCTCAAGGGGCTGGAGCAATGGCTCAGTGGCTAAGAGCACTGGCTGTTCTTCCAAAGGTCCTGAGTTCAATTCCCAACACCCACATGGTGGCCCACAACCATTTACAATGGGATCTGATTCCTTGTTCTGGAGTGCATGAAAACAGAGCACTCATATACATTAAATAAATTCATAAATCGTAGGAGAAAACAGCATGGCCAAAGGGCATGATGGAAGAAAACTGGTAACTTGTGGTTGCCAAAAAGAGAGGGGAAGATGGGGAGCACAGCACAAGCTGAGTGCACAGCTTAGGTTTAAGATGTCGGACACCCAGAGCCACTACTTCCTGTGACCAGGCCCCACCTCCCGGAACCCACCCAGCTACGAACTCATTGGTGGGCTAATGTGGATGAATGGATGCCCTCATGGTCTACTCAGCACTCATAGCATCCCCAGCTGGGGACCAGGCCTTTAACCAAGCTTTTTTTTTTTTTTTTTTTTTTTGGAAGGGGGGGAGTTAAATCCAGGGCATCCCTTCTTTTTTTTTTTCCTTTTTAAACAGGGTCTCACTGTGTAACCCTAGCTGGCCTGGAATTTGCTGTACTGACCAGGATGATTTCCCTCAGACACCATGCCCAGCCATGACACTTTTTACAAAATGGCACTTTCGGACTGGGTCTATAGATCAGTCGGCAGAGTGTGTGCCTACCTCAAACAAATCCCAGGGTTTGAGCCCCAGCACCCCACAAGCCAATATGGCATCACACACCTGTCATCTCAGCACTGGGGAGGGGGAAGCCGGAGGATCGGAGTTCGAGGTGAACCTCAGGCTGAGACACACTGCAGGACACACTGAGAGCACTTCTCTCCAGCCTCTTCTGCTACTCTCCTGAGGCTGGCGGCCGGCATTGCAGTCTCCATGGTAGAGGCATCCGAACTTTCTGTGGGGAAGATGGTCAGCCATCTGCAGAGGAGGAGAGGCACTTCAGACCACCACTGAATATAGGAGCATGAGTATTCACGGCACACAGATAGTCATTTGGAGACAAATATGTGCACATGGCTGCTCATGTGTACATGAATATTCATCAGGGCAAAAAGGCTCTGGGGGAGTGAAAAATATGATTACTGAAATAAGAAAATGCCCAGATGTGCTAGAAGATTAAGAGAAGTTAGGAATGTCGAGGAAGGTTCGTAATCCCAGCATTCCGGGGAGAGGCAGGAGGATGGGCAGGGAGCTGAGGCCAGCCTATGTTACAGAGTATCAGCCAGACCTGGGTCACAGAACAGGGCCCTGTCTGGGCAGCAGACAAGGCTGGGGCAATAGGTCAGTTGCTAAGTGCTGCGCAAGTACTAGATCTCAGGTTTAACCCCCAGAACAAGGTGAGCCAGGAACCAGGGCTGTGGGGTGACTGATTGTAACCCCAGCCTGGGGAGGCCAAGACAGGAAGATTCCCCAGGACCTGCTGAGCAACAGCCTAGCTAAACCTGTGGGCTCCAGGTCCAGCGAGAGGCCCTGACATTGAGCTCCGGCCCGTATGCACATGTGCTCAGTCACATGAACACATGCCCGCAGAGAGAAGATTTTAAGTTGATATCCAGTTACACCTACAGAGGGACGCATAGGGAGCGAGGGAAGAAGATTACATGGAGCTCCGCATTCTCAGATCAGTGGAATTGGGGATACTGAGGTCAAGAGAAAACAAGACAAATAAGAGGAGGAATTCTGGTTTTCCAGGCAGAGTAGATAGCAAAGGATAGCCTCGGACTCAGATCCTCCTGCCCTCCCCTGATGGGCACATCTGGTGCACAGCTGGTACAGCAGTGCTGGGGTTGGAGTCCAGGGCCTCTTGCATGCTAGCTGAACCCTCTGCCAACTGAGCTGCACCCCAGGATGCTGTTACACAGTTTATCATGAACCCTGGAGGGGTCTTTAAAGGCTCCCTATACAAAAAACAAAGCAAAAGGTGAGTAGGTTGGGGAACAGAAACGATAGTTCTGATTTGAAGACTGCTCCTTGTAGACGTGAGGACACTGTACGCATGATCACACTGTACCCATTTGTAAGTACAGCCACTGTCAGTTTTAAGAAAATGAGGATCACTGAAGTGCGAACTATTCTTATGCGTCAGTTAAAAATACGCCAAAAGTTTAAAACAGAAGTTGCAGCAGAAAGCCTGCTATTTAGAGAGATGGGCATGATTATGGAATCATTCCACTGAGAGTGAGAATAGTGTTTATTTTGAGGTGAAAGGAGAAAGACCTCTGGGCTTTGGAAGGTGTACTGCAGCAGCCTCAACCTGTGGGCCACATAAGATCATTGGAAAACACAGGTATTTACAATCCAGTTCATAATAACAGCAAATTCACAGACGTAACAATGAAATCATGTTATGGTTGGGGTCCCCACAGCATGAGGAACTGTATTAAAGGGTCGCAGCAGTAGGAAAGTTGAGAGCCTGGTGTACTGGTTAGTTTTTGTTTTTGTTTTTTTTTTTTTTTTTTTTTTTTTTTTGTACTGTTTGGTTTTAACTGTCACAACCTAGGATCAGTTGGGAAGGGGGGGTCTCAAGTGAGGAATCTTCCAGGTCACATTGGCATGTGGACACGTCTGGGAAGCAGGTTGTCATGTTGGTTAATTGAGGTGGGAAGACCCAGCCCACTGTGGGGAGCACCATTCCCTAGGCAAGGAGTCCGGAACAGTGTAAGGACAGGGAAAGCTGGGCGTGAGAAGCAAGCAAAGGGGCGTGTGCATTTGTCCTCTCTGCTCTTGACTGTGGACGTGATGTGTTGAGTGCCTGCCTGGACTTTCCCACAACAGTGGGCCAGAACCTGGAAGTGGGAACCAAAGAAAGCACCCCCAACCCCAGTTGTTTTTTGTCAGGATGTTTTGTCACAGCAATAGAAAGGAAATTGGACCAGACCTGGTTTTGCAAGTACTTGGGCCTCTAAGTTATGTGTATGTACAACTTGAAGTTTGGTGTTTTTATTGTTTTGATTAACTTTTTATTTTATTTTTTTAAAGATGTATTTATTTATACATATGAGTGTTCTATTTGCATGTGTGCCAGTATGACAGAAGAGGGCATCAGATCCCATTATAGATGGTTGGGAGCCATGTGGGTGCTGGAAATTGAACTCAGGACCTCTGGAAGAGCAGCCAGTGCTCTTAACCTCTGAACCAATGTATCTTGATCATATCTACCCCAGTGCTCACTCCTCCCGACCCCTTCCTACTCTCCCCTGACCTCCTACCCAAGAGGTCTTTCTCCTGTCTTCATGTCTTTTTTATGTTTGTTTGTTGGTTGGTTGGTTGGTTGGTTTTTCAAGACAGGGTTTCTCTGTGTAGCCCTGGCTATCCTGGACTCACTTTGTAGATCAGGTTGGCCTCAAACTCACAGAAATCTTCCTGCTCTGCCTCCCCAAGTGCTGGGATTGCAGTCGTGCACCACTGTGCTGGCTTCATGTCATCTTTTTATTTATGATCCACTGAATCCCCTTGGAGCAGCTTGCATGTTCATGGAAGTGGAACCATGAGCAACCTACCAGCTGCCACATCCTGGAGGGAAACTGAGTTTCCCTCCCTTCCCCAGCAGCCGAAAGTAGCCCCTCAGCTAGGAGGGAACTCAGTAGCCCCACCCCTATTTCATTTATTATTGTTGTTGGGGGGCACTAGTGTCAGAGCATGGGTCTGGAAGTCAGAGAATTACTTTGGAAGTCAGTTTTCTATGTCTTTTGAGGGTTTCGGGAATTGATCTCAGGTTGTCAGGATTGCAAGGCTTTAACCTTCTGTTGAGCCTCACCAGCCCTACTTTTAATTTTTCTGTGGCATTAAAATAGAACCTAGGACCTCGTGCCTGCTAGATAAGCCCTTTACCACTAGACCTTAGCTGCAGCCCCTCACTGGGGGATTCTAGGCAGGAGCTCTACCACTGAGCCACACCCCAGCCCCTCACTGGGGGATTCTAGGCAGGTGCTCTACCACTGAGCCACACCCCCAGCCCCTCACTGGGTATTCTAGGCAGGGGCTTTACTGCTGGACCACCACCCAACCCCAGCTCTGAAAACTACTTCTGTAGTTTTCCTGAGAGCATTTGTCAAGGCTCTAGCATCATGCAGAGGCCACATACATACAGCATTTAATATCACAAAAATCCTCCTGGTAAATGACAAGGCTGAGGAAGAGGCTCTGTGACTTGCCTCAAGCTCGTTCAGCTTACAGCACAGTTCGAGCTTAGGTCTGTGTGTGTCTCTTCAAGCCTGAGCCCTTCCATGTAGCAGCCATGTGGCCCACCGGACCCTGTGTCCCTCCCAGCTATGTGTGGGCATCTCCTCTTTGTCGTCTGCCCTCTGCCAGGCTC